AGGCGTGAGCCACCGCGCCTGGTCCCTGAGTTATTTTTAAATTCAAAAGAAGTATATATATATTTTTAAGAACTCTTAATGCCCATGGTCCCAGGATTTTGTAGGTTGGTATTCCTAGTGCCAGCACCCCCACTGCCACTCTGCTGACAGCATGCTCCCTGGGGTAGAGCCAGTGCCGGGACGAGGCCACCCCCGATCCACCTTTGTACAGCTCAGCGGTCCGCTCCAGCTCCTCTAGCCTCTTGACAAGCCCATCTGTGGGGATTAAAAGAAGAGGGGAGGTCAGTGGGCTCAGCAAGCCACAGGAGGCCCAGGGCCAGGCTGGGGAGGGGAGAGGCAGCCCCAGAGGAGAACCAGGATGGGAAAGATCAGGGGTCCCAGGGAGGGGGATTTGGCACCTCAGGTCAGCTGGGTTCAAAGGTGTTTTGTAAATGACTAGGCCCTGCTCAGGGCCAGCGGAGGGTCCCTGCCTAACAGGCGAAGCCCCTGCACTTCTATCACAAAGCCTGCTGGCAGCCGGGGAGGAAGGCTGGCAGGAGCCATAGGAATGGAGATGGAGCAGCCAGGCCGCCAGCGCAGGCAGGACGTGGTCCCTGCCTCCCAAGCACACAGATGGCTCAGAAGGGAAAATGCAACTTGGGGAGGGAAGGGGAAATTCAGGAAGGTTGAGAGAGCTCACACTGGGAAGAGGCCTTGGTGATCATATTCATTGGTTTAACTGGTGTTTCTTGAGCACCAACTGTGTGCCAGCCACCATGTCAGGCTCACTTTGAGCCAAGTCTTGCTCTCAAGGCTCAAAGCCCAGCAGAGAAGCCAGCCCAGTGGCCGGGTGATGGGCAGCGGTGTGATGGTGAGGGCTGCAGGGGAGAGGTGGGGCAGTTGGGCGCTCTCTGCTCCCCAGTCTCCTGTGTTGACCTGGGTCAGGGTTTTTGAGCAGAAGCAGGGAGGAGCGGAGGCTGTGTTCAGGCCTCTCTGGGCAGGGAGGAAGCTGTGCGACAGGCTGTCAGGGGAGGAAGGGAGCACTTCAGAGGTCTTGGTGAGGCTTTGGCCACCCAGTGGCCTCCAGGCCTGGGCTCCCCAGAGCCTTAGCACCCGGCCAGCCGGCAGGAAAGGAGCCATGTAAGCGTCGTGCTGTTGTTTTTAGCTGGGTCATGGGACATCATGAGAGCTTCAATTTTAGAAACCCTATTTAAGGCCAGGGAAATTGCAAGGTTTGGGGGGAAAAAACACAACAACCAGTTCTAATTTCATCTCAACGGCTGGTAACTACAGTAACAGGGATTTATAGGCACCAGGAGGCTGAAAATAGCAGCCGCCACTTTTGTACACCATTTGGAACAAGCTCAGACCCCACCCCCACTTCCCTAGCCAATAAAGCCCAGTGTGCCCAGCTGAGCCTACAATTTCTGGAGGTATTTATATCTACCCCACACGCACACTGCAGAGCTGCTGCTATTTTTAAACTCGGACTGGCGACGGTAGGAGTGGGACCAAGTGTTTCGTTGGCCACCCCGGGGAGGGGAAGTGTGTGCGCATGTGTGCACGCGTGTGTAAATGTGCATGTACACGCCTCCCTGCTCGCCTGGGCAGCCACCTCGAAGGGAGGACCTGCTAAGGCAAGGGCAGCAGCGCCACCTCCTGGACAAAGGAGGCGTGAGGTGGGCAGCGAGAGTGCTGGGGTGAGGGGTAAGGGGGCTGAGGGCAGGGGCAGAGGCACCTCCCCACTCTGAGTCTGTTTCCCCATCCGTGACCTGAGGGACACGGGCTAGGACAGCCCAGCTGACAGCTGTGGACACTCCAGGAGCTGGAGAGGCCTCTGGGGATGCAGAGATGGTGACTTCTCAGCTCCACGGGCAGAGGCCAGGGTCAGGCCCACGGGACCCATAGCAGCTTGGTGGGCAGCCATGGTGCCCCTTCTGTCTTCCTAGCCTGGGCTTGAGTCCCCGGGGCCCAAGCTGGGTGGGAAGGGACTCACCATTGCACAGGATGGCCCGGCTCAGGCCCAGAGCATCTGCAGTCCCCGAACTCATGTTCTCCACCAGCCGGTGCTTGACTTTCTTCAACACTGAGCGGGGGACGAAGGACCTGGTGAGTCTGTGGCTGCCCAGAGGCCATCCCTGCCCCCAGCCGTACCTCCATTCACAGGGAGCATCCCACAGGGGGCAGAAGGACTGCTGGGGGTGGCTGTGAAGTGGGGAATGTCCAGCGGGGAGGTCCTAGGTCCCTGTCCTATTCCCTCTGCTTCACAGAGGTGCTGGCAGTCTGGGCAGTTGAACATGGAGGGCTTCGCCCAGGGCCTGCTGCACATCAGCTGGTGGTCCTGAGAGCCCAGTGCCACCCGGGCTCCGCACCGGCCAATGGAAGCCAAGGAGGCCTCTTCCCTCCTCTGTGTCACATCAGGACCTAGGGTGTCGCATAAAGGGGAAGGGGAGAAGAGGGGCCCCTGGGCTGGTTATGTGAAAGTAATGGGCGCCATCAATGACCATGAAGCTCGGAGCCCAGACTCCATTACTGCATCTCACCAGCTTAGTCCTAGGAAGGGGACTTAGTTCTGTGTTGGAACGAAAGGGTTTCGGAGGAAGCTCCTGCACAGATCCAGGCTGCCCTTAGCCCCTTGGCCTCTGGCCCTAGGGTGTATGAAGAGGGCTGCCGGGCTCCAGAGCTGAGAGACCTGGGGGTGCGCTCACTAGGGGCTGCAGCGCCCTCTCTGGGTCTCAGGCTTTGATCCGTAATGTGAAGCGGCCGGTCCAGAGGACTCGAAGCTGCTGTCCAACTCTTGAGTCTTAAAGTTTCTACAGAACCAAGGCTCAGCCCCTCTAACAGGACAGACCTTATCCCAGGGCGCAGACCCTCTGCCCAGTGCCTGAGCTCCAGTTCAGATCCAGAGTCCCTGGGAGCTGAGGGCAGGAGAGGCCAGAGAGGAGTGCGGTCGTGCTAGAGGGCATGAGGTGCCAGGCCAGGGTTGGGCTGCTCTGCCTTTATGAAGAGGGAGGCCCTGGGCCGTGGAAGCCAAGGCGATGGCCTGCAAAGGACAACCCTAGGGTAGCAAGTTCCCAGAGGAGGTGGCCGAAGTGGGGAGGTAGGGGTGAAACACGGGGGAGTGAGAAACCAGGGACAGAGTACAGGAACAGATGCAGGGAGAGCACCGGGGGTCCTCCCAGGCCTTTCAGATTTGCTTGGTCAGAAGTCAGAGCCCACAGCCATGTAACTCTGGATTCTCCTGTCATAAAGGGGAAGGAAAGGCTGGCTGGGGCACTTCTCCGTTGGGCCAGGACCCATCCAGGGAGGCTGCTGGACACCCGTAACTGCTCTGACCAGCTTACCAATGTCCAGGGACATGCCCTGCTTGGGGTCCGCCTGCAGCTTGTTGTAGTGGATGGTCACCTCCCCCTGGAAGAGCAGCACACACAGACTAGTGAGGGAGGCTCCAGACCCTGAGCCCTTCCCCACCAGGACTGTTCTGGACTGAGAATCCTGAGCCCAAGGCCGGGCACGGTGGCTCACACCTGTAATCCTAAAACTTTGGGAGGCTAAGGCGGGCAGATCACTTGAGGTCAGGAATTTAAGACCAGCCTGAGCAACATGACAAAACCCCATCTCCACTAAAAATACAAAAATTAGCTGGGTATGGTGGCGCGTGCCTGTAGTCCCAGCTACTCAGGAGACTGAGGCACAAGAATCACTTGAACCAGGGAGGCGGAGGTTGCAGTGAGCTGAGATCGCACCATTGCACTCCAGCCTGGATGACAGAATGAGATTCTGTCTCAAAAAAAAAAAAAAAGAATCCTAAGCCCCAGTAAGGGGCTAGGCTGAGAGTCGTGACATGGCCCCAGCTTGTGACCCTGTCTGCTCCCAGGCCCCTCCGTTTCTACTCTACATCCAAGCCCTGGGGAATCAGTGGGGACAGGGCCTGCACAGGGCCCACAGCCCGGTCTCTGATGTCTTGTGCTTCGGTCAGATCAGGCTCTCCTTCTTCCCTCCCCAGGCAAACCACACTCCAAGCCTTTGCCGTGTCCTTTCCCTACACTGATTATTCCCTCCTCCCCCGCAAACCACCCCATCCCCAGGAATCCCTCTACTCATTGAACAGCTACTTCTGAGCACTCGCTCTGTGCCTGGTGCTAGGGCACCAAGGGGAAGGGGCAGGGGCAGCCCCAGCCCCCAAGGCTGATGCAAATCAGGGAATGACACAAACCACTTTCTAACGACTGCTCAGGAGACACAGGCTTCTCCCAAGAGGACTTCCCTGAGCGCGGGAGGCCACTGTGTTCACCTCATCCTTGCAAACCAAAAACCCTTGAACTTGGGACCACATTCATCCAAATATAAAACAGGATTTAAAAATCAAGTCCCAAAGGGAAACCCAAATGAGATATGCGATCAGAGTCAGAGGTGGGGTGTGAACTGCTCCCCCAGAATAAAACACAGGCGTGCTCAGGGGCCACCCACAGGGAGCAGCTGTAGGCTCACGGCAAGCGGGCTGCAGTGGGAGTCGGACCACAGGCAGGTCACTCCCCGCCTCTGGACACCTGTAAGACGGAAGAGTAATCCCTGCCCAGCACCCAAACAGGGGAGCTGGGCCAATGCCGCATCCCTGTCATGGCTGTGTGCAAACACAAAGAGCTCTTGTCCTCACGGGCAACCTGAGGAGCTGGTGTGACCAAGCCTGAGAGGACAGGGAGGGACCTGACGAGCAGAGATGGGGAGGGGGGGAGGGGCTGCCGAACAGGGCACACACAACCCAACTCGGCCAGAACAAGACCCCCTGCACCTGTTCCCGTGATCAGTTCCTCTGCCTAACAGGTTACGCCTGGGGCAGTGATACCCAGACCATCTGGAGTGGACGCCTGGGGCAGTGATACCCAGGCCATGTGGAGTGGACGCCTGGGGCTGTGATACCCAGGCCATGTAGAGTGGCAGCTGGGGCAGTGATACCCAGGCCATGTAGAGTGGCAGCTGGGGCAGTGATACCCAGGCCATGTAGAGTGGCAGCTGGGGCAGTGATACCCAGGCCATGTGGAGTGGCAGCTGGGGCAGTGATACCATGTAGAGTGGCAGCTGGGGCAGTGATACCCAGGCCATGTGGAGTGGACGCCTGGGGCTGTGATACCCAGGCCATGTAGAGTGGCAGCTGGGGTCTCAATGAACCTTGCTGCTTCCTTTTTTACAGCAGAGCTCTGAGCCCCAGCCCCAGGCCCCGATTTGTCCTATGGCTAAAGGGGCTGGAATAGGAGAATGTACAGGATGGGAATATTCCTCCCTACAGCAAGGAAGGAGAGAAGCAGGGACCACTCAGGAGCAGGACAGGAGGATAAAGGGGAGAGAGGATGGAGCAGCGGCTGGCCTGGCTTAAGGCAGGAAGGGGGACTATCAGGGGTGCTAGAACCCGGAGGACAGAAGTGGGGCTGAGGGAGGTGGCTGCAACGCTTGGCCAAGCTCAACTCACAGTGGGGACCCCTGCCCCCAAGACTTCTAAATCACCCCGCGTCGGCGCACTGCCTGCACATCAGTTCTTTCACAATATTGGTTTCCTGAGACTCGCTAGCAGCCACATCGCTAGGAAATGGCAAAGGGGCTGCATGCTCGCTTCGGGAGAGGCCAGGATGCTGCCTGCCATTCCAGGAGGGAGTGTCCCTGCAGAGAGGCCTGGGCCTGTAGCAGCAGGGGTGGGGGGGGAAGCAGGGGCAGACAGTGTGTGACTCTGGTCCATAGAGCAGAAGAGCAGCTGGCCTGGGACGGGGGGGTCTCTGGGTGTCGATGAGCCCAGGAGGCTGCGTGGGACCAAAAGTTCCTACAGGATGGGGAAAGGGTGCTCTTCTTTCTCTCTTAGCCCTCGCAGGCCCAGCATGACCTGGCTGCAATTACTGGGTATCTACTGACCCGGGTAGGATCTCCTTGGACTTTTAGCTTCAGCTCCAGCGCTGACTGGACACATGGGCTTGCCTGAGGGATGGTTCCGAGTCTGTCAGCTCCCCGGGGGCTCACAGGGACCTTGTGGTCTTGCCGCCCACTCCCTTGCCAAGGTTCAGCACAAGTCCTGGAGCACAACTACTATTTATTGAATGAATGAGGGATGGACGAGGGAGGCTGGAGTGTGACCCTAACCCTGCACGTGCCAAGGAAGGGGGCGGTGAGGGCTGATACCCCCTTGCAGGCCTGATGGGGCCTCTGGCAGCCTGGAGGTCTCAGAAGCATGTGTGGCTGCCTCTGCTGCTCTGCAGCAGCCCTTACCTTCACCTCCTGAATCATCTTCGCCACCTCCACCTTGGTTTTCCCTTTGATTGACCTGCCATTGACACCGGTGATCTCATCGCCAGCTGCCACTGTGCCGTCCAAGGCTGCTGGGGTGTTGTCAAATACCTGTGGGTGCATAAGGAGAGTGGTAGGGGAAGAAAGGGAGGGCTAAGATGGAACCTGGGAAGACACCTGACCACTGCCTGGCTCTGTCTTCCACTCTACCCTCTGCTCTCGTTTTTTGAGAACGCATCTCACCACCCGGGCTGGAGTGCAGTGGCGTGATCACAGCTCACTGTGGCATTGAGTTCCTGGGCTCCAGCAATCCTCCTGCCTCAGATATACAGTCAAATGATTTTTTTTTTTTTTTTTTTGAGTCGGAGTTTTGCTCTCATTGCCCAGGCTGGAGTGCAATAGTATGATCTTGCTCACCACAACCTCTGCCTCCCAGGTTCAAGCAATTCTCCTGCCTCAGCCTCCCGAGTAGCTGGGATTATAGGCATGCACCACCACGCCCTGGCTAATTTTGTATTTTTAGTAGAGACAAGGTTTCTCCATGTTGGTCAGGCTGGTCTCGAACTCCCGACCTCAGATGATCCACCTGCCTCGGCCTCCCAAAGTGCTGGGATTACAGGCATGAGCCACCACACCCGGCGTCAAATGATTTTTGACAAGGGTGTCAAGAACATTCAATGGGGAAGGACAGTCATTTCAACAATAGTATGTGAAAAATGAAGTTGACACTACCTAACACCATATACAAAAATTAACTCAAGGCCAGGCGCAGTGGCTCACGCCTATAATTCCAACACTCTGGAAGGCCAAGGCAGGCAGATCACCTGAGGTCAGGAGCTCGAGACTAACCTGGCCAACATGGTAAAACCCCATCTCTATTAAAAATGCAAAAATTAGCTGGGCATGGTGGTGGGTGCCTATAGTCTCAGCTACTCAGGAGGCTGAGGCAGGAGAATCGCTTGAACCTGGGAGGCAAAGGTTGCAGTGAGCCAAGATCATGTCACTGCACTCCAGCCTAAACAACAGAATGAGACTCTGTCTCAAAATAATAATAATAATAATAATAACTCAAAATTGATTAAAGACCTAAATGTAAAAGTTAAAACTATAAAACTCAGAAAAACGCCTAGCCCAAAAGCTTCATGACATTCGATTTGACAGTAATTTCTTGGATATGACACCTAAGACCCAAGTAATAAAAGAAAAACTAAATAAATTGAATAAATTTTCAAACTGGTGCATCAAAACACACCATCCAGCCTGGACAATGTGGCAAAACCCAGTCTCTACAAAAAAATACGAAAATTAGCTGGGCATGGTGGTGTACACCTGTAGTCCCAGCTACTTGGGAGGCTGAGGTGGGAGGATAGCTTGAGCCTGGGAAACAGAGGCTGCAATGAGCTGAGATCCCATCACTGTACTCCAGCCTGGGCAACAGAGTGAGACTGTCTCAAAAAAAAAAAAAAAGAAAGAAAGAAAAGAGAAGAGAGGAAAAGAAAAGAACATTATCAACAGTGTAAAAGGCAACCCACAGAATGGGAGAAAATATTTGCAAATCACATTTTTGATAAGGGATTAATATCCAGAATATATACAGAATTCCTAAAACTGTTTTCTTTTTTTCCTCTTAGCTGATGATGCTTTGTAGAGAATTCCTAAAACTCAACAATAAAAACCAAACAATCTAATTCAAAACTAGACCAAGGGCTGGGCATGGTGGTGCACACCTGTAATCCCAGCATTTTGGGAAACTGAGGTGGGAAGATCGCCTGGGCAATATGGCAAAACTCTACCTCTACCAAAAAAAAAAATACAAAAATGAGCCAGGAATGGTGGTGTGTGCCTGTAGTCCCAGCTACTCAGGGGGCTGAGGTGGGAGGATGGCTTGAGCCCAGGAGGTTGAGGCTGCAGTGAGCCGTGATCGTGCCACTGCACTCCAGCCTGGGCGACAGAGCAAGATCCTGTTTCAAAAAAAAGAAAAGTTAAGATGGTAAATTTTACCACAATAAAAAAAATAGAAAAAAACAGAACAGAGAATACAGAAAGCAGGATGTCATCATCAAGATACATGACAAGAAAGACACGGTGTTCCCAATGACATCACCCTCTGAGGATCTGGCACAATAAAAAAAAGACTGTGCTTGCAGCTATCATCACGACTCTTCCCAACACCAGAGACAAAAAGAAGGTCCTCAAAGTCCTCACAGATCGGAAATAAAACACATCACAAATAAAGGCTCACAAATAAGAATGGCAATAGCCATGTGACAGCAAAAGATAATGTGACAAGGCCATCACGCTTCACACAGGAATTACTGTCAACCTTGACATTCATTCTTGAATCTGATGAGCCAAAATGTCAACTGAAAGGAAAATGGGAACCACAATGACCAAATCAGGCAGACCTGAGGTCTCAAAAAATTGACATCCCACGTGCCCTTTCTCAGAAAGCTACACGAGGATATTCTCCATGGGAGATCAGGGAGTAAACCAGGAAAGGGACCCCCAAGATGGGGGAATCCAAAGAGGAGGGGCAGGGGGAGGGCACAAGGGGGCGAAACTACAGGGGAGAAAACAGACTGAAGAAGATGGGGCCAGGCACAGTGGCTCACGCTGTAATCCCAGCATTTTGGGAGGTGGAGGCAGGAGGATCACTTGAGGTCAGGAGTTCAAGACCAGCCTGGCCAACATGCTGAAACCCTGTCTCTACTAAAAATACAATTAGCCAGGCGGGGTGGCATGTGCCTGTAATCCCAGTTACTTGGGAGGCTGAGGCAGGGGAATCACTTGAACCCAGGGGCTAGAGGTTGCAGTGAGCTAAGATTGAGCCATTGCACTCCAACCTGGCAACCGAGCAAGACTTCATTTCAAAAAAAAAAAAAAAAAAAAAGAAGATAGGAAATTGTGGAAAACATACTGAGAAAACAAGAAGAGTGCAAAATGAAAAAAACAAAACAGGAAATTACCCCCACCCTCTCAAAGAAGAAGAAAAGGCTGAATTAAGAAAAGAAACACAGATTCCTCAGAAAGTTAAACATAGAGTTGTTTCGACTAGAATGAGAGCTCTGTAAGAGAGGGATCTTTGTTTTCTTCACTTTTTTATCCCTAGTGCCTACAACGAGCCTAGGAGGCACTTGGAAAAGATTTCCCGAACAAAATATCTGTTGTACTAATAGTAATTTAGCCAAAAATGGAAAAATAACTATGTTGGAAAGGTGAGATGAGAGGAAACAGACTGGTCAAGTGAAGAACTAAATTCTCATCTACCGGACGAGGCAAAGTCAATAGATATTTACAGGTGACAGATAAAGAAATAACAGGATAGGCAGAGAGTGGTGGCTCATGCCTGTAATCCCAGCACTTTGGGAGGTCAAGGCTGGTGCATCAGTTGAACCCAACAGTTTGAGACAAGCCTGGGCAACATGGCAAAACCCGTCTCTATAAAACAGGTTTAGTGGCACGTGCCTGTAATCCCAGCTACTTGGAGCCTGAGGTGAGAGAACCATCTGAGTCTGGGGAGGTCAAGGCTGCAGTGACCCATGACCGCACCACTGCACTCAAGCCTGGGTGACACAGTGAGACTACTGAGAAAAATGGAAGCCCATGCATGAAGAAACAGAGCAAGCCGGGTGAGGTGCACAGGGGAAGGGGAGTGGCTTGCTATTATTTGACACAGGACTTTTAATGCTCTTGACTTTATAGAGGCAAGTCACATGGCACTTTGATAAAAACAAAATTGAATTTTAAAAAATTGATTATATTATTATTATTATTATCGAGACAGAGTCTCACTCAGCCGCCCAGGCTGGAGTAGAGTGGCATGATCCCGGTTCACTGCAACCACCATCTCCTGAGTTCAAGCAACTTTCCTGTCTCAGCCTCCCGAGTAGCTGGGATTACAGGCACCCACCATCATGCCTGGCTAATTTTTGTATTTTAGTAGAGACAGGGTTTCACCATGTTGGCCAAGCTGGTCTTGAACTTCTCACCTCAGGTGATCTGCCCGCCTCAGCCTCCCAAAGTGCTGGGATTACAGCGGGGAGGCCTTGCTAATGCCTCCTGGGTCACAGGAGGCCAAATGGCTCATGAAGGAGGCAGCACTGTGAGCAGAAGCAAGACCAGGTCAATCCTGGGAATCTGTCTTCGAGGCCTACAAACGACTCCTTAGCAAGATCCTCACAGAGGCCAGTTTCCTATCTGCCACCAGTGGCTACCCAGTTGAGAGGGTTAGAACCGGGTCTTCCCAAGGCTACAGCAAGGTCACTGACTTGGATGAGCCACACAGTGAAGGAGCCCCCACAGCAGGTCTGTCACCACTCCTGAGTTACAGTGGACAGAGTATCACCAGTGCAGCTTCGTCCACAAGAGACACAAGAATGTTCCTCACCACTGGTAGAGCATCTGGGAAAATGTACAGCTGCCTGGAAAATAACAGCAGCTACTGCTTAATGCATGTTTCTTTTTTTTTTTTTTTTTTTTTTGTAACAGTGTCTCACTCTGTCATCCAGGCTGGAATGCATGGAATGCAGTGGCGTGATCTCGGCTCACTGCAACCTCTACATTCCAGGTTCAAGCGATTCTTCTACCTCAGCCTCCCGAGTAGCTGGAACTACAGGCGTGCACCACCACGCCCAGCTAATTTTTTGTATTTTAGTAGAGATGGGGTTTCGCCATGTTGGCCAGGCTGGTCTCGAACTCCTGACCTCGTGATCCACCCACCTCGGCCTCCAAAAGTGCTGGGATTACAGGCGTGAGCCACTGGGCCCAGCCAATGCACGTTTCTTAAGTGCTAGTGTGTTATGTTGTTTTACTGACTTTTCACAGGAACCCAGAGACGATTATGTCTACATGTTTTAAATCCCCTCTTTCTAGGTGATGAAACTGAGGCTCAAAGAGGTTAAGTAACTTGCTAGTAAGTAGGGAAGAAGCTTGCATTTGAACTCGGGCCATTATTTCATCATATTCCTATGACACTTCATTTTGGCTAGTACCCAAGGCTGATGGTTTTGTTGATTCAATAGTCAATTTCTATTGCATGTCCACTATGTGCCAGGCACTGTACCTGGTGCTTACTGTAGTGAAAAAGCAAACCAGGACACTGCCCTCAGTGCAAAGAGTCTACTCTACTAGACAGAGGGCAAATAACAAGTACTAAGTGCCAAGAAGGAAAAAAACAGAGCGACATAGCGGAGAAGACAGGGCAGACCAATGCAGTGCAGGTGATCAGAAAGCCCCTCTGAGAGGATCAGACCTCAAGAATGAGAAGGAGTCAGCTATGCAGCATGGAGAAATGAACCTGCCTTTGTCATGCCCAAGTAGGGATGTACCTTGTGCCCCCCTCCAAAGCGCCCAATACCTGGACGATATAGAGACAGGGACAGTACTGGGCCCCTCCTCCAATGCTGATCCCGATCAGGTTCTGAGCATCCTTCTGCAGGGTCACCTTCCCAGGCACAGTTGGGATTCCGCTAGAAAGAAAAGCAAGCGAGGCTGACTCTCCTGGCGGAAGGATGACTGGAGGGGGTGGGCCCTCCAAAACTCCCGAGGGGCTCCACTGGCTGCCCAGCTTTTTCTCTCCCTCCCTTGGACAAAACATTTTGTGCTGGAACATGCACAGCTCTTGGAATTAAGCAGATGTGGGATCAAACCCCAGCTCTGCCATTTATCAGCTACAGAACTTGGTTTCTTTTGAGGCAGAGTCTTGTTCTTGTTGCCCAGGCTGGAGTGCAATGGCACAATCTTGGCTCACTGCAACCTCCGCCTCCTGGGGTTCAAGTGATTCTCCTGCCTCAGCCTCCGGAGTAGCTGGGACTACAGGCGCCTGCCACCATGCCTGGCTAATATTTTTTGTATTTTCAGTAGAGACGGGGTTTCACCATGTTGGCCAGGCTGGTCTTTAACTCCTGACCTCAGGTGATCCGCCTGCCTCAGCCTCCCAAAGTGCTGGGATTACAGGCGTTAGCCACCATGCCCAGCCAGCTATGGGACTTGGGTAAGTCACCCTCTTACCCAAGCATCTCAATTTCCTCATCCATAAAATGGGGATGAGCACCCTTATCAGAGTTCTTCTAACCATGCATGGAGGGCGCTAACAGCAACCCAGTCCATAGCAGGCACTCCATAAAAACAGGTCTCCCTTCCCTTTCATTTATTCGATCTCTGAGATTTGAGCCAGGTTCTGTCCTTGTCACCTTATCAGGCATCTATGGAATATGACGGCCACCTACTCCAAGGAGTCTTCCTCTATTAAACCGTCCACCTCCCACCTCTCAACTGCTCAATTACCTCTCAGTTTCCACTATAAATTAGCATTGACTGGTGTTTTATGGTAAGTACTCACGCTGATTCACTTATTCATTCAAAAAAATTTGCTAACAACCTACTGATGTCAGGCCCCTTACTAAGTGCTGAGCACAGAGCAAGGCATTGCACCCACTCCTTGATCTGAAAGAGGATATATTCTAATGGGAAGACAAATCTAATTTTTGAAAATCTGTCCTACTAACGATCTATGTTGGGAAAGAAGGTGTGTCTACAATATTCCTATTCAACCTTCAAAACCTGGTTCAATTGCTACCTCCTCCATGAAGCTTTCCTTGACCACCCCAGCAGAAGCACTGCTCCATCTGCTTTGCTCTTCTTGTCACCAAGTCATGCTAATAGTGCCCTTATGGCACTGAGCTGTGATTATCCTTTTAAGTGTCCACAGCCCCCTACAAATAGTGAGCTCCTGGGAAAGCAGGGTCCGTTGCTGCTTCAGTACAACACCTGATCCACCGCTGAGAAGCGAGGCTTTGTGGGACTGGGAAGTCCTGGGAAATGAGAAACTTGGGGCTCCTACACTGCTGGAACTTGGGGGAATAAAATACTCACAGTTTATCCTCTTCGATGTCATAATCCAAGTCTGCAAACATGGTTCCGAGAGTTGGAGTGGGCTGGCTAGCTGCCCAGCTCGGTAGGGGAATGGGGAACTGGATCCGGGAGAGAAAGGAGCATAGGATTTAGGGAACCGAAGTGCATAAATGCCAACGCCACCCCTCCCTCCATCACCCTCATACGGGACAGCAGGGCCCTCCTCTTCCCCTCTGGAGTGGGATGGGGCAGTCTCCGGGTGGGGGGCTGGGTAGGTGATTCTTACTAGGTACAAAGGGGGACTCCAGGCCAGGGCGATAGGCTCAGATCCCAGAGCCCGCCCCACGGGTCTCCAGGCCCTGAGGAGCTGCCTCTGTCGCTCACCGGAAGCGTTGGTCCCACAACCGGGTCCGGGCCAGGCTGGTACCTGAACCCACCTGCCGTTCCACCTGGCGGTGGCCGCTACTGTTACGTCACTTCCGGCAGGACGCGGAAGTCCCGCCTTTTCCCACACTGGATATTTGCTCCAATCCCTGCAGACAATCCTTCCCTTCCCGGCTCTCGGGACGCTCGGAACCAAGAACAAGAACAAGTATTGGCGGAAGCTCGCCGTTAGTAGGAACAAGCGAAAACAGAGGAAAGGTCTGGACAGGCTGACAGCATCTAACCCCGCCCTTTGCCCTGCTGCCGCCGCCATCTTGGGAAGGGCAGGATTGGTCCCAACTTCCTCAGCCGCACGCAGGGGCCCGAGCCTACCCGGCGGTTGCCATGGCAACGAAAGCATCCCTGAGCTGGGGTTACCTCCGGCGAGGCTCAGTGGACTATAAACCGCGAGACATGCCCTTTCACCCCTTCACCACCTGAGCCTGTGACTCCCCTACTAGAATGGCCCTTTGAGGTCTCAGCCCATTCCAGTTTCGCCAACTTAAGTGCCAAAGAGCGGGGAGTGATTTTGTGCGGGGCCACACACAGTTGGTTTAAGATCTGGGTCGTGGCCCTGAAACTCCCGCCGCCTAGTCTAGGGGTCTTTGAATGTCCAAACACTAAACAAAGAGCCAGGAGAGGTGTATTCAGTGGGTCTTACTATTAAGGACAGACTGGACATGCTCCCTTCCCTTTATGTGCCTCAGTTTCCCCATAGGTAAACTAAGGCCATTGAGGTAAATGCTTTCTATGGTATATGGTGAAAGATTTCTCACACCCCCTCCTCCTTCCTTAGTCCTGAGGAGCAGCCTAACTGGGGTCCCAGGGAGGGTCACAGTCCCCATGTATCTGAGGCTCGGGAAGTGCTCTCAGTGCTCCCCAATTGAAGGGTCCGAATCTTGTCTCCTCGCCAGCCTCTGCTGCCACTGCTACTGTGTAAAGTGGGTTCCCTGAGGGAGGGTGGCTCTCCTAGAGCCACAGCCAGGCATCCACCTCACCCGGCAGCATGGGGCCAGGCCCATCCAGCTTGCTTCCCCAGCTGCCCCAGGAGCCATGGAGGAAAGATATAGAAGGATGATTGTCCACATATCCCACGGCCGATGGAAGCCCCACCCTACTCTCTCCTTAGGTGGCTAATTGAGTCTGGACAGATGTGCAGAATGCCGTGACAGCAACAGCCTTCCCACTGTCCACTGCTCTCCAGTCAGATCACTTTCACAGGATTTTAAAGCTCACCATCACCCTGTGAGAGGAGACCAAGTCTTGCCAGCCACATTGTGCAGGCAAGGAAACTGAGGCCCAGGGAAGCCTCTTCCTCTGGTATCATAGCGGCAGGGCGAGGGCTGGGAAAACCAAGCTCTGTTTCCAGGCCAGAATTTTGGTTTCAAAAAGCAGCAGTCTAAGGCCAGGTGCAGTGGGGCACACCTGTAATCCAAGCTATTCGGGAGCCTGAGGCAGGAGAATTGAAAATGGGAGAGGGAGGTTGCAGTGAGCTGAGATCAGGCCATTGCACTCAGCCTGGGCGACAGAACAAGACTCCATCTCAAAAAAAAAAAAAAAAAAAAAAAGGCAGCGGTTTCCAAACCCAGGTGCCTCAACATGGATTGTGGCTCTTCCAGCCCATGACGATGCTAGCTCAAGCCCAGGCTCTGCCATTTTGTAGCTGGGAGGTCTTGAGTAAGTCACTGTCTCACTCTGAGCCTCGGGTACCTGTAGAATGGGGAAATGACGCCTGCCACCAGGTATTGGTGAAAGTCAAGATTAAAAGGAGAGGCTGGGCGAGGTGGCTCATGCCTGTAATCCCAGCACTTTGGGAGGCTGAGGAGTGTGCGTCATGAGGTCAGGAGTTGGTATAAGATCTGGATCATATATCTGGACCAGCCTGGCCAACATGGTGAAACCCCGTCTCTACTAAAAACACAAAAATTAGCCAGGCGTCGTGGTATGCACCTGTAATCCCAGATACTCAGGAGGCTGAGGCAGGAGAATCCTTGAACCCAGGTGGTGGAGGTTGCAGTAAACTGAGATTGCGCCATTGCAGGCCAGCCTGGGTGACAGAGCCAGACCCCATCTCAAAAACAAAAGATTAGAAGGAAAAATAGGTGTGAATGCTTTGTAAACAATTTGCGTGGCACAGCTGTCACTCTGACCTCAAAACCCCCTACCCACTCTGGCCTTTCTTCCCAGGTTGGGGAAGATGCCCCTCTTTGCTGCCTTGTTCAGCTGTTGCCTGCAGGCTCCGCTCTAATTCACCTCTTCCCGGCAGGCTTAGCAGATGATCTCAGCTCATATATCTTGCTCCCTTTTCTGAGCTCCTGAGCAATTGCTATTTGAATCATTCGTTCAGCAATTTGCTGTGTATTTGCCTTGTGAAATCTCTTCATGGTTTTCCTGAGCCAATTCTGCAGTGATTAATTTATTACATGCTTGTATTTTGTCTGGCAAGGTTTTTATCCCCTTTAAATGTGGGGCTTAGAGCTCACAGTTTGATAAATTATAAAACGCTTCTCCATGTCCCTCTTCTTGTATTCTGTTTCTCTACTGACTTTTTTTTTTTAAGATGGAGTCTTGCTCTTTCACCCAGGCTGGAGTGTGAAGTGGCACAATCTCAGCTGATTTCAACCTTCGCCTCCTGGGTTCAAGCGATTCTCCTGCCTCAGCCTCCCAAGTAGCTAGGACTACAGGCGCCTGCCACCACGCCGGCTAATTTTTACAATTTTTTTCTTTTTTCTTTCTTTCTTTTTCTCTTTTTTTTTTTTTTTGAGATGGAGTCTCGCTCTTGTCGCCCAGGCTGGAGTGCAATGGCATGATCTCAGCTCACTGCAACCTCTGCCTCCGGGTTCAAGCAATTCTCCTGCCTCAGCCTCCTGAGTAGCTGGAATTACAGGCACCCACCACTGTGCCCGGCTAATTTTTTGTATTTTTAGTAGAGATGGGGGTTTCACCATGTTGGCCAGGCTGGTCTCGAACTCCTGACCTCAGATGATCCACCCACCTCGGCCTCCCAAAGTGCTAGGATTACAGGTGTGAGCCACCGCACCCGGCCTCTTTCTCTACTTACTTTCTAATCTCTGGCACCCCCATCTTCTGTAGGATACTTGGAATTCATCAACAGGTGTCATTGTGACAGACAAGAAAAAGGAAATTGGATTGCTTTGTAATACCTGTTGGTGTGAAAATGTCACAATCCACTTAGCTTTTTTAGCAGAGGGGGTCACCGGAATCAGCCCACACAGCAGAGGAACATGTCCCAGTCAATTGAGGGGGTCTGGTTGGGACCAGGAATCTATTTGACGGAAAAGAACATTCAAGTACCTTATTCTGTCACCCAAGTAAGCACTTCTTGTCTTTCCAGCTGGACAGGAAGCCCCTGGTCGGGGGGCAGGTGCTCTGTTTTGTCCTTCTCTGAATTGCCCACAATGTCCAGCGCGATACCTGGCTGCAAATCTAGTGCTTGCAGAAATCGCTGCAGCTTTAGTATGAGACGAGACTTTCTGTGGGTCCAGGAAGAGAGGACTTGGATGGGCAGAGGGAGTCAAGAGGGTTGGATGTCTCAGAGAAGAGATGAGGAGGGCCTCAACAGGGACAGTAGCAGTGGCCCGTTTCCTCCACAAGGCTGGAATCACCAGGCCATGTCTAGGTCCTGAATTTTGGAGCTCCCCTAGCCCAGGGTGACTCCAGTTCAAATCCCAGCTCCGCTCTTTTAGCTGGAGGACCTTGGACAAGTCACCCTTTGTCTCTGAGCCTTGGTGTCTGTGGAGTGAGGATGATGATCCTCCCAAGACAGTAGTTAAAAAGAGGAAGACAGGCTGGGCACAGTGGCTCACACCTCTAATCCCAGCACTTTGGGAGGCTGAGGCAGGTGGATCACCTGAGGTCAGGAGTTCAAGACCAGCCTGGCCAACATGGCAAAACCCCGTCTCTACTAAAAATACAAAAAATTAGCCAGGCGTGGTGGCACATGCCTGTAGTCCCGGCTACTTGGGAGGCTGAGGCATGAGAATTGCTTGAATGCGGAAGGCAAAGGTTGGAGTGAGCCAAGATTGCACCAGTGCATTCCAGCCTGGGCAACAGAGTGAGACTCCGTCTTAAATAAGTAAATAAATAAATAAATAAATAAATAAATAAATAAATAGAGGAAGGCAAAAAAGGAGAACCAGATGTGAAAGTGTTTTGCGAGTGATTCAAAGAGCACAAATGTCAGAGGTTTTTATGATCCTTCTGTTTATAGTTATTTTGCTGAACCCCTGCAGAGATCAGGGCCGATGGTACATTTAACGAACGCTAAGATGCTCAGGCCTCTGCATCAGACTTGGCTGGGAAGTGTCTTAAATGCAGATTCCTGGGCTCCAGCTCAGACCTGTTGGATTGGAATCTCTGGGGAAGAGGAGATCTTGGGGACTGCATTTTCACAACACTCTGCGGGTGACGCCAATGCCTGCTGCAGTTTGAGGACCACTGTGCCAGAGGCTGCAAACACGCAGTGTCTGTGCACACCTAGGTGGGCCTGTGCGAGGTACCAGCAATCCCTGCCCCCAGGGCCTCGCCATCCTGGATAATCCAGGGTGTTGAGTGGGCCTGGAGGAGGGGCTCCTGCCCAACCAAAGGCCAGTGAAGGCTTCCTGGAGGAGGTGCTGGTGGTGCCCAGGCTGAGGCAAGGAAAGGGAAAGAGGGAAAGGTGCAAAGGCTTCCCGTGGCCGGTGGTGGAGGGGACGAGGCACAGTTCCAGGACCCTGGGAATCAGTCTGGCGAGGGAGACAGACTCAGAGGGCCTCAGAGGGGAGGGCTGGGTGGAGCCCCTTCCTCAGGATGGGTAGGATTCTAGGGGTTGAAATCAAGGTCAGGATATCCACCCACTCCCAGGAGGCTGAGCTAGGGCTGCGGTTCACACCCTCCCTCTTCAGCTCGCATCTCCTCCTGCCCTGAGGCTACTCCTGAGTCCGTCCAGGTGGCAAGGCAAGTGACCTCTGTCCTGGCCTGGCCCTGCCACTGAAAGTTGTGTGACCCTGGGCCTGGGTCCCCTCCAAGCTTCCATCCCTGTGGCTCCCTCTGAGATTCAATCCACAAGGGCTGGCTCTGCCGCCCACATTCCTGGGGAAGTGCTGCCACCCGGTGGCCATTAAGAAAAACAGCTCCTGAAGCACGCGGCCAGCTATAGAGCCCCCAGCTTTCCGCACACTGTCGCCACCTGCTGACTTAGGGATGCCGGGGAGCTCAGGGGTCCGTATACTTTGTGGACGGGTGAGCTGGTCTTGCGCACGCCAGCTCTGTGCCTGGCTGCCCGCTCTGCAGCCACCGCTGTCCCCCAGCCCAGGCCTGCAATCCTCCCTACTTAAAGGTCCAGAAGCTGGAGTGGGTTGCTGGAATTCAGTTCTGTTCGTCGTCAACATAGACATTTAGAGTGTGGGCTTTCAGGGCAAGCAGAGGACAGTGACTCTGGCGGCTAAGGCTGGGTGCCTTCTGTGCAGAGGCCCGGACCCGAGCAGCCTCCATTCCTTTCTTCACATGAGCCTCACGGCCATGCGGTGATCCCACACGCTCACCCATTCACTCACTCATTCATTCAGTACGTATTTCTTGAGCACCTACTACATCCAGGCCACACACCAGGGAACAAGACAAGCAAGGCCCTGCCCTGACAGAGGCCTCGTGAGTGGGAGGAGCAGGCAATCAACT